TATAAAATGGTTCCACATTCTATATAGATTGCATGAGACATTTCCTAGCCGTGTCCTCTCTCGTTTTTATAATCAGAATTTGCCCCTTAGATCTGATGATTCAACATCATGACATATCTTTTCATACGATCAATTGAAATCACAGGTCTTTTTCTTCAAGCCGAAACCACTGATAGATCACAGTAGAAAAATTAAACGCTTCATCAATGAATTTACCAACCAGTATATAAAATCGTTATGAATATTTTTCGACAAAATAGTGAGTATGTACCAATAAAGCCGTTGGGTTTATTTGTCGGATGTTGCATTCCATAAATAATTGATTCTGTGTATTTTCATGATTCATCAAAAAATAACAATAAAAAAATGAAGAAACTGTATTAACTTTTCAATTTTCAACTCACGTTCGTTGTTTGATAGTCTTGATTAAAAAATACTTTTTAATTTTCATTTTGCTGACTAATAAGTTAAAGCTGTTTTTGGAGATAAATTATTGTATAATTTATCTCCAAAAAAAGTATAAATGTATATTTTTAGTCCTTTAGTTTTTTGCAAAATATTAATTTAAAGTTAATAATATTTAATTATAACTATGTAAGAGTTAAGTACTATGTTATTAAAAAAGCATTTAATTTTTTTGTAATAATATTAAATTTCATATAATAATATGTTTTAACGTATTGTTAGAAATATTTGGTCAGCACTTCCACTCAGATGTTTACTATTCCACAACTTGTAACCGAATCCTTAATCTATATCTATAACTTGTATCGTATTTATAATATTCAAAAGTAACATTGAGGTGATGGTCTGTTATAATATTACTTAACATTGTGTAAAACATGTTTAGGCTCTAATTATAAATTATAAAACCAATTGTTAAGTATGTATTTGGACATTTAAATTACTGTACAGAAATATTATTAACATGAATTTACACTATTTAAACGAATATAGATGGTGCTAATTGACTATCATAAAAATTCCCAATAAATATTAGAATATAAATAACGTGAAGCTTAGAATTGTGAAGTAGACAAATATTTAAATCATTATAAATAATTATTACTAACAGTACCTATTCATATCATAATTTTATGAAATCTTTAATTTAACACATACGTTATAAAAAGTTTTCTGGAAATTCTTTGTAAAGAAAACTTTCCAGACTTTTGAGGGAAACGACGTCATATTCTATAAAATATAAACTCAGTTTAAAGTTGACCTTTACATAGAAACGCCATTAGAGGGGTTCTCAAGTTGTTTTGAAATAATTTTGATCACTGCTTAAATAGCTCAATGGATCGGGTATTAATGTAGTCGGTTCGTAACTTATGAATTCAAATTTCTATTTACGTTATGCATTTAATTTCACATTAAACTTGGGTATATTAAGGTAAAGCTGTTGGGTACAAAGTAAATTAATGAAAATAAATTCAGAATTGTTTAAGAAACTAAATATTTCGCATGTTTACATGTTTATGTTTTATTGTAATTCATTTTTGTTTTGACAAACATGTGGCATTACGCTATCGGCCGAAGCAAGAAAAATATTTATAAAGTTTCTTTTCCATCGTCCTTTGACTAAAAAATATTGAAATGCGATTATTTTAATATTTTCTTTTTAGTTGACCATATATTTACATTATTTATTGTTGAATGCCATTTGTTAAAATAAACTGATGTATTGAAAATTGTGTTATTATTGTAGTGAAAGGAATAAGGACAAAAATAACTTATTTTTTACCAAAATATAATTACTCAAAACTCATGATTCTATACATATAGCCTTTGTTATTTGCCCTATTTGCAGTTTCATATGTAACGTGAACAAAGAACTTTTGACTGTTAGCTTTGACGTTGTTAAAGCTGTTCAAGCTGTTTCCTTGGCTTGTTCTGTGTGCGACATATTAAATTCATATTTCTTATACTAAGGTCACATAATTTTTTTTATGGTTTTCATATAAGATGGTTTAAATTGTATTTTGTTATGAAGTATATTGAATATTATCTTCCTTATATATTTCCATACTTGAATTACTTTGAAGTGGTTCACATTATTCTTCATTATGACGTCCCCACATCCCCTTACTTTTTTAATATGATATTAACTATGTATGTTTGTATAAGTATTAAATATCTGTATATAGCGATTGGGCGCCCGACTTCTTTATTCTGGGAAATAGCTTTAAAAGCAGGTATTTTTATCCAGCATTTGGGGGATAAAATTTATTGCTGTAAGGAAACTTCTCTTCCTTTAGCATATAAGGAAAAAAACATGCAACATTTTTACTCAGTAATTATAAAAGGTTTTTAAAACATAGATATATAAAAAGGGAGTGGGGAAGTTAAGCGCTGGAAATAAGAAAATAAATACCAAATAAGAAAAAACAGAAATAGAAAAACAATGTGTGTGGTGGTGTGGTATGAGCGATCCAAGATGAGAGAAGGTTCAGTTATAATATAAACATATACCCATATCTATATTCTGACGTATAAACATTGTATTATCTTAATAGTAAGCAGAGTATACCCAAAATTATATTATTTTGATTGTTATCACAGACGAACATTATGTATGTATGCTGTGTAGAAAATGCCAACGTCGCATTTGAGGACGTCGAAAACTAGGCGTCGCAGTCAGGAAGTCCACGAGATATATGTACGGTTCTGGCTATACTATCTACAGAAACCCCTTATATAAGCTCTGATATATTCCGAAACTTTTCAGAATATCTTTACAGTCATTAAAAATACTTTTTCGCTTTTAACGATTTTGTTTGCTATAATTGATATGAAATAAATGCCAACTTATACAGGCATTTTGTTACGGGAAAGACAGGAGGACGTATAATATAATTTCACCTTCACATGCTAATATATTTGCAAAAAGTATAAACATATTTTTAATTTAAATATAATAAAATAATAGGAAACCAATATGTATAAATGCAATGTAACCTAACATATTTAACTAACTTAGATATAACTATGTCATGATATTTAAAGAATGAAATCGAAAATATAAATATGCAAGTAAGCTATGTTTAACTTCCCAATTATTCGTAGGTAAGTAAGAATATTTTTTATCTTGTGTACTACATGCATACAATCTAACGTTTTCTCTAGCCTTTACTTTCTATATGTAAAGTAAATAATAATGGTAACTTCATTCGAAAGTTTTATATATTTTTACACCCGTTAAAATATACAAGAACTACTGTATTAGACGATTAAGGGATACATTAAAACTTGAATTCTCGATCTTAATGATAAAATAATGTCTTATTTTCATACTTTAAGTAACCGTTTAAATAGATGTTAAAGAAATAACAATTAAGGACACTGATTTTGTTTTAATCTCAGATCGATCGTGACTTTATAATTAACTATTTAAAAAAATAAAATACAAAGCACGTACCACAATGTTGTTTTAACTCGCAACCTAATTTGTAAAAATACATATAATTCATAAAGTGTTGTTACTGTGCTATTCAAAACACTGCAAATGAAAGATAACAGAGCAAGCTACAACAGTTTTCCTGTCTAAAGTAATAATAAAACTATTAAAAATAAAAATTTTTGCTAGCAACACATCCTAACGAAGTTTATACTCTGTTTTAACGTTCATTTTTATGTCTTTTCATGCAATTTTAACGTTTTAGACACAATTTACCAGCCTTAATGTTGAGCTTACAGTTTTTTTATGCATTGTGTTTTAAGCTCATCAAGAAATAACTATAAAGGTATGAGGCTACGGAGGATAAATATTTTATATTCGGATGTAAAAAACTATATAAGGATTATTATTTTAATTTTTAGTATCAAAGTGGGAGTTTAGTCTTTTGTTGTAGACCTTCTTCACTACTAAAGCAACCATAAACTTCTCCAAACCATTATGACTAACATAGTGGTTTACCCAACCAGAGATATGTCTCCGCCGATTAACTGTTGGAATTATAACTTAGCACTATATAGTTAGAATTTAAAAAAAAAAACTTTAAACAAAAATTCGTTCTGACATTTGGATTAAAAGTTTTACCGATAACGGGATCAAGTAACAACTACCACTCAAGTAGAATAAAGTTAAGGCCTTAAAAAGATTTTTTTTTATTTTGGTCTGCTTGAAAAAGACAACTTTTTCATATAAGACAATATGACCACCAGGACACAGTTAATAAAATAAATAATCTTATTTAAAGAGTAACCGTTAACCAGTATGTAAATTGCGTTTCTGAAACTAAGATTTTTCAAAAGTAGCTAACTGGCTAGGCTGTTGGTGTTTTCCAGAAAAGTACGCCACAAACTTAAGAAATCTTTGCCGGTTGATGAAAAATTACTAGTTTTACTCACATAAACTCTTATCTCGTCTGTTCAAGGTCACGGTTCCTGGAAAGTAATCGAAAATTCGTTGACATGTGAAAACAAAATATTTAAAAAACTTAAATTCAAACGTGTACACAAAAAGCCTTAGATATAATTTAGTATTTCAAAACAATTTCTAGGTTGATTAATAATTATTTCTTACAGATTTTTGTTGTATACTTCATACAGCTTGTATGTTTTTTTAATATTCCGATTTTCGTTATCTTAGCGTAATGTATAAGATGCCTCAATAAATCACTCATTCTCGACTAGGCGTGACGCGCCATCTATGAAATGAAACAAAAATTAATGGAATGAGGAAGTTTGTTCGAGCCCACGTTATTGTTCTCTAGAGATAATACATTCATCACTCGCTAACAATTTTTTTATACATTTTATTTTAATATTTATCTATCATTTATGTAAATTTTTAATATAACGATGCAAAGAGTGTTAAATTTTGTAATTGTAATTTTTAACGGAAAAATAGATATATATTTAACAGTAGATTTTAGTTTTTGAACAATAAAGAACATTATTTTTTTATTTCTATAAATACTTCATTTTATCTTACATAATTATGTTTCAAACTAAATATTTAATTTAAACCTTACTTTACTTTACTTTCTTCGGCGCTACAACCCTTTGTGGGTCTTGGCCTCTTCCACAATAGACTGCCATGCGCGACGATCCTTGGCTGTCCTTCTCCAGTTCGTAAAACATTTCAGAGCCTTGAGATCATCTTCGATGCAGTCGCACCATCTCTTTCTCGGCCTTCCTCTAGGTCTCCTTTGCTGCGGCTTCCAGTCGGTCATAATCTTGGGTGCCCTGTTTTTGCCCATCCTCTCTACGTGCCCAGCCCATCTCAGACGCTGTGACTTGATGAATCGGACGATTGTTTCTCGGTTCATGAGTGCCTCCAGCTCGTGATTCATGCGTATACGGTAGTCACCGTCTGCGTCTTTCACTGGCCCAAACACTTTGCGCAGAACTTTCCTCTCAAACACGGCGAGCTTTTGGGTTTCCAAAGCTGTTAGTGACCATGCTTCACACCCATAGGTGGTGACGGGGCGTATTATGGTCTTATAGATAGACAGCTTGGAATTTGCACTAAGATATTTTGATCGGAAAAGTTTGCTGAGAGAGTAAAAGCATCTACTGCCAGCCATGATTCTGGCATTCACCTCATCTCCAACCCTATTCCGGCTGGACAGTATCGACCCCAGGTACTTAAAGCTGCTGACTCCTTCAATTGTATCATCTCCAATGGTGACATCCTGTAGTGGACGAGGGTTGCGCGTGCTATGAAGGTACTTCGTTTTGCTTGCGTTAACCATCAATCCATACTTTGCCGCTTCCATCTGGAGAGTTGTGGTGTGTCTGATCATGCTGCTTTGAGACCTGCTTGTGATAACGATATCATCCGCATAGGCGGCTAGCTGACTGGTGTTATAGTCTAAAAGCCCTTTTACTCCTACGTTTCGGATGGCTGCCTCCAGCGTAAGGTTGAAGACAACAGTAGATAGGGCATCTCCTTGCCTGACTCCTGAGCGTATTTCGAACGGGTCCGATATGTCATTTTGTATAGCTACTACCGATTTCGAGTTACACATAGTAGCCTCAACCAGGCGCACTAGTTTACTTGGGATTCCCAGCAACCTCATGGCATCAAAGATCTTATGTCTGTTCACGCTATCGAAGGCCTGCTTGAAATCTATGAACATATGATGTAGATCTATATCATATTCATAAGCCTTTTCAAGAGTCTGGCGGATGAGATGGATTTGATCAGTCGTAGACCGATTCGGTCTAAAACCACCCTGATATTCCCCCAGAATTTCTTCGGCATACCTTCTGATTTCCAAGTATACCAACCCAGAAAACATCTTGTACGCCGCGGACAGAACTGAGATGCCTCGGTAATTACTGCAGACTGTCTTGTCCCCTTTCTTGTGGATCGGTATAACTATACCTAAGCACCAGTCTTGCGGGAGGGTTTCTTCAAGCCAGATTTGCGTGATCAGGTGGTGCAATCGCTCTATTAGTTCAGGGCCCGCAGACTTCACCATTTCGGCGGCTATTTAATTTAAACCACTGAATAAAATACGACCTCGCGATAGCAAGAAAAGTAAAAACAAGTATAAATTCTATGTAAGCTGTGGCTTTAAGCCTTTATTAAGAGCCCGAAATGACTTTTTAACAATACTCAAATAAATAAAATGTTATTAAAAACCTATCGAGTTACATGTATAAAGATGACAAAGTCATTAAGTACCGCTATATTTTGAAGGATTAGTCAATACCCTTTTCACTGGCCATCTTTCCAATAATAATAAACAATAAGTATTGTTATTACAAGAATAACACCCTCCTGGGTAGCATTTGAAATAAGATCTTAACATTTTTTTAATTTTAAGTTCAGTCTTAAATATCAAGTCTTGGTTCTTTGATGAAAACTTAATTATATTCAAATAAAATAAATTTTTAAAAGACCTTCGCCGTGCATCAAACATGGCGAACTTTCACCTATAAACATATTAACTTATATTGTCATATAAAAATCACTATTAAGTTCAATTTCATTTATAATGTTTACATTAATTCCAACCATGGAATAATCAGAGCCTAAACAAAAATAAAAGTAAAAAAAACGAAAAAATAGAGATATTAACAAAGCTACGTACCAAAAGGTACGTGTTTAAAGATATAATTAGTACTTAATTCACATCGATCATTCTGCTGTACAAGGGTGGAAACAAACATGTAACGGGAAACTATTGCCATTTAGGCTTATATCGAACATCTACAATATGTTGGTAAAAATCTTACTCAACTGGACCGCAACAACTTCAGGTGAGCAGCAATGTAAAAATCAAACAGATTTTTGAAGACACTACTTAGTTATTGGTAATATTCACACAAAAATTCAGGTAGGACTAAAAAAACACAGAATTGAATACAAATATGTACATTAAAAAATTCAATAATATTCACAGATATTTTACAACAATAACCAAACTAGAAAAGAAGTGGAAGTCATTCAATGTTCAAAGAGGCTACAAGCAATGAGTTCCAATATCCCCAAGACTTCTCTTTACGCTACTGAAGTCGATTTTCAGGTGACTTAATACGAAAAATCTGGAAATAAAAATGAATGGAACTTCATTATACATTGAAAATTTGCTGATGACATAGCTTTATATGCTGATTGACATGATGTTATATCATCGTAATTATAAGAATCATAAGAAGATACTGGCTCCTGAAACTAATTTTCAAAAACAAAAATTCTACGTAAACTTCAAAAAGGAAAATTTTAAATCAGCATTGTGCCACTTTTCAAATTTAGCAATCACATGAAGGGTGTACCACAAAAATTAATGAACAAGCTAGCAACCTACCAATATGCAAATGACAGGTGCATATTAAATGTGATAAAGACGAACACACGACAGAGTAGCTTGAAAAAAGTAATGTGAAGGAAAAAGAAAAAGAGACTTAAAAAAATATGGGATAACAACATGAGACAAGTAGCCGTATAATTTGGAGTAAAGAAGCATAGGAAAGACATGAATAGCAAAGGTTGAAGGGGGACCCTTGAAGATTGCCAATCAGACAAAACAAAAAAATAAAAATAACTGTAACATATTAAAAATAGTTTTATGTATGTATGTATATCGGCGCTGTCAGCTTAATGACAAATTCACTATAATTATAACTCGAGGCTGTCATCAATTATTATAAAAACTTAGTGGTATTCATATTATTGTTATAAGTGAAACGGAATCAAATTGAAAAGAAGAATAGAACTATTTTTCAATTTTGATATAAATACGACCTCTGGAAGCACGACAGGACAGTTCAGTGAGTGCGGACCGTTGAAGAATATAGTACATTCAGAAGAATTGAAGTTTAATTATAAAATAACATGGAATGTGCTGAAAGAAGTGACGTCAGTTAGACTGACGCGTCTCTTTGTAAAACAACGAATGTGTAATAAATCCGATATATACGTGTACACCTTATTAGGGTAAAATTTAAACAGGTTATATTATTATAAGGAAAGCAATAAATACACTATTAAGTCCACATTCCAAGTCCTCAAATAGACTATTGACGGTAAGATTTATATCTATTACGTAATATAACTTTGCTTAATTATGAACTTCGAATAAAAACATAATTATTTTATAAAAAAAAAAACAAGTTAGGAAAGCACTCTACAACCCAAATGAGATTTTTCCGAACGATTTACTAAAAACGTAATAGAAAAGCTATTTATTTCCTATTAAGTTTCTTATGATGCCGCAATGCTTGGATCAAAATATCATTAATTATGTTACAGCTTATAGATTTTTACTTCTATATATATAGTTCGTTGTTCTTGTTATTTTTACTAGTATTACAGTGTTTAAGTGTCACTTTTTAACATTAAAATCTGAGTTGCGACTCTTGAGAGGTTCTTCATTAAAATTATATTATAGTAATTTAATTAATATAAACATAATTATTGTAAGCTCTAGTATGTTATATGCTACGGTATTTGTTTAGTCGTACTAATTAGACTAAATTTGCTAATGTTAGTCTGGTCAACATAATAATTATGATACGAAATTAGTAAAAGCTTTCATCGGCTTTTGATGTATAAAGTTGATAATTCACTTTATATGTATAACTTTTTAATGTCGTCGAAGTTTTTGTGGCTGAAAGATTATCTTTTTCTCAGATGTCAAGGCTTATTGTCATAAAAATATATATCGGTAATTTTTTATTTAACTTATCAGATCCCATTGTTGAGCAAAGGCCTCTTTCTTACATGGGCAAGGTTTGAGCATTAATCAGCCCGCTTGCTCAAGACGGGTTGGTGATTTCAAACTTATAATTGTGAAATTATAAGTCCAGGTTTCCGCATGATGTTTTCCTTCACCGTCAGTCAGTGGTGTCTAAATATTCTTACATATGACTCGGAAAAATCACATTGGTACTTGCCAGGATCAGTAATTAGGGCGTTGTAAATATATATTAGTAAAGATAAAATCATCTAGATAGTACTACTTAAATAATAAGTAAAAGTGACATGTGTAATATATAGTAAGTTTGTTCAATACAACTCCGCGGTTTCTCGAGTAGGGCGGATCTCTTTAATTAAAAAAAACAGCTCAGAAAATGTTTAATTAATTCTCACAGGCAACTGTAAAAAATCTGAAAAGAATTTTAATATGAAACGAAGATAAACGGTTAAAGATGAATTTATTTACTTGAGAATCTAAATGAAATTTTGAAATACAAAAATTGTTATTAGCAATTCCGTGTAAAAGTATACATAATTGAATAGAGAGGATAAAAAAATGATTGTCTAGTATTAAATAAACTTTTGATTTGTTATACTTAATTATAATTCAGTTATTTGGTGAATAATTAAGTATTAAAATAGCAAATTAATTGCATTACTTAATACAAAATCATTGAAAAATGTATCATATTAAGTAAATTAAAATAACGGTTAGTAACCAAAAATTAATTACTTTAATTAATAGTAACAATAACTCTGCTAAAATGATTTTTCAAAATTGAATCCTAAGCTTATTACTCAATTTTTCCATGAACCTTGTTACATCTGTGTATCCCATGTAATTGCGTTCCTATTCACAAAATGAGCTTACCACGTATTTTGGCGGCTCGATGGAATCATATTGGTTTTCCTTATCGGCGTCTTCATTCATCACAAACCTTACAAAAATTTGCTTAATTTTATATGCTAAGATATTATAAAATTTATGATTTTGTATTATTTTCTCTGTAAGTATATAAGAATGTCTCCTTTCATATTTCTTATATAAAGAAAGTCTTCAGTGTTTCTTGGAAACATAGAAAGGATATACTACAGTTCGAACCTCAAAGATTCATATTTTATTTGTTTCTGATCTATTTACATATAATTATAACAAATCATTTCTAAAAAATCATAAACATTGAAATGTATTCTGAAAACACACGTTAAACGAAAGTCCTTTGCCTTTTTTATTGTAAAAATTGTAAAGTAAGTTTTTTAGATTAATAACAAGACTATCGCTGAATTTCTATTTTTATATAGTTTCTTTATCATACAGAAATTATAAGTCTGTGAGTTTCTGAAAGTTGCTGTGAAAATACGTTATCTAGATCATGAAGTTTAAATTATGTTATAAAATTTGTGAACCAAAAGCCACTTTGGAATAAAAATAATGTATACTGTTTTGATAATATTAACTTCAGCCAGAGTCGTGGAGCTACTTTATGTTATATTTAATATTATGTGTACGTTTAATTTAAGTGTCTATTAAAAATGTTATGAATACTTTTATTATGGCTAAGTATACTTTTATAGTCGTTTATTTACTTATTTTTTCATTGCACACTAAACCTGAGTGCACCAAGCGCTGGCAACGAGAGCTAATCTCGTATAATTTTACTGCACTGCTTACAAATATGCTTTGTGAATTTAGTTTTTTAACATATTTTTATCAACTATATAAGGTGTTTAATTACTATCAAATGACCTAATGATGAAAAGGTCTATATTTCCTTTGATATTATCTTGATGTAAGAAGGTTACTGGAAAAAAATATCTCTT